TTTAGTTATTTTTATACTTACCCAATGTTTTCAAACCTTTTCTGAGCATAGTTTCATACAAATTGAATTTTCTGAACTCTAATAAATTTAACCTGTAAAAAGCACCAATAATGTGTCATCCTACATGAATTTCCTGTTCTGTCTGAATATATAGTACATTTTGATTTACCCTGTCTATTATAGACAGGGTTGTGTTTGCAGTAAAGGCGACCGTAGGCCAGTGCCTAGGGTAGCAAGGTTATGGGGGAGCACTAAATCTCAAAATGTACAAAAGTGATAACTTCATTATTATTTTGTTTCTGTTTTCTGTACAATTGACATGTGTACAAATGTAGCTAAATTCAGCAAATCCCAAGGAAGGTACAAATGCTGTAAGCATTGTACGATACACAACAAATTCAATGTAGATACATACAGAGTTGTAAAGGTAACATACGAACAAATTAATTAACACTGTGTGAACTGTATTTAAAAAAGCTCAATAAATGGCAGCACTCATTTGTGTTTTCTTTTTCAAAAGTTTGGAAGTCTTGCAGGAATTGTTCGCTTTTCAACAACTTTCCAAATGTATGGGTAAAGAAACTTGGAAATAATAGAACAGATATGATCTGAGGCAGTATCCCTAATGTGTCTTCCCTTTGTCTGGGAGCTCAATAGTGGAAAATGAGTTAGGAGGTTGGCAAAGACAAACCAGTTGTAGAGTGGAGAAGGGGTATGAATGTATGCATGAGTTTTCAATTGGTGCTGTAATTGAATCAGTGGGAGGCGGTGTTTGGAACCTTGGAGAAGGCTTTACATATAGGGATTTGACACTTACAGAGTCCTGTAAAACTTTGATTTATGAAAACTATATACGTTTACTGCATTCCTGTGTCCCTCAATGAATGAGAAAGAAAACATGAACTCCAAACCAATTTTATAATATGTACAGACATCCTGTTTTCCTCTTTCTCCTGTGCAGTGCAGTGTACACTCATTGCCCACACGATAACACTTAAAAAAATGGAGCCAGGTGTCAGGATGATGTTACTCTAAAGCCCATGTGTCAAACTCAAGGCCCAGGGGCCAAATTCGGCCCACCAGGCCATTTCCTAGACTTCTACTTTCAGATCTAGGTATTAAGTTATTACTAAAACCAGTGATAATCGAATGCAGAGGCAATTATGATAAAGATTAGATACATTTATATAGTCTTACAGGCCCTTAGAGGGCAACCATAATGTTTATGCGGCCCTCGATTAAATTGAGTTTGACACCCCTGCTCTAAAGCATATGTGCAGTAGTTACATCATAAGTAATATTCTAATGACTAAAGAAATATGTTGGATACAGAAGAAGCAGTGGAGAAGATGGAGACAGAGCAACACAGAGATCTGTCCGTACTGGAGGAGGAAAAACCCAAAGTTAAGTTTGCCATAATGTCAAAAAATGCTATGCTATTTGCAGATTATGGCAAGAGCTGTTGCCACTCTCCATTCTACGGTACTGCATAAAGTCAAGATACAGGGCACCTAAACATTCTTTGTCCATTCAAGGTAAAATTTATTCATCACCGTTTAGTGTATTTATAGTGTATGCTTTAAGCATTTTAAACATCTAAAATTAGAAACAAGTTCAACCAGAAGAAATTATTGAAATTTCTGTGCAAATTTAACATGAATTGCATTTTTAAAGAAATATAAATGTACAGCTTCGCTTACTTTAAGATCTGGCCTTCTTATGGCTTTATTTAAAACGGAATTTTCGTCAGAGATGACAGAACTTTGTAATTCGTCTTTAAATTTATCAAGCGTTATCCAGCGTACCTTCTTTCTGGTGTATTTCTTTCTTTCATCCTAGCCAAAATGAAATACTATTACAGTGCAATATCAGGCTTTTCAAGGGCAATTGGTGCACACAATGTGGCTTTATACTGTATATAGACATCTCAAGAAAAAGAACATCTGAACTGAGAGCAAACCAAGACAATACCCTTTACGAGAAAGGAGTTCAAGTGTATGTCAAGCCAAAAACATGTTCTCTTTTTTTGAATAGAGCGGGGAAGAATTAGAACTTCTGTCTGGTTTTTACTGCCACTCAGTACCCAGTTAGCAAATGTTACCCTCACTTCCAGAGGGAAATCTTTAACAGGGACACAGACATAATTAAATATGTGATGGAGGTTTGGTTCTTTCCCTGATCTAATAAAGAAAAGCATATTTATTTCTGTCTGTGTTTCTTTCCCTCACTTCCTGTCTGGTAAAATGTTGTCAGCAGGACAGGACGTGAAGATAAATCTCTCTATCAGAGTTTCACATAGCAGAAAAATCTGGTAGGGTTCTAACCTTTGCCTACTCCAAGCAAAACTAAGAAAAGTTTTGGCTGGGCATACACTTTAAATTGTGTATATTATTTATGTTCTCTGAAAACTCTGTATCTGAGTGTATGTGGTACTTGTAAATACCCAGAGGACCAGAAGTTAGCTCTTCCACTTCACAACATAGCTTAAGGTTGCACAAAACTGTATGAATTGTTGTATATACTATAAAAGTGCAGTGTGTGAGAAATACCTACCATGAGGGACTTATTGGGGGCCACTTCGATCACATGAAAAACATCCTGTTTACAACTAACAGTTAGGCACCCCTTTGTAAGGCACTGTTATAGACAGATTTCTGAGGGAGACTTTGTATTAAAATATACAAAACATCTTATGCTTTTAGATAAAATTGCGTTCAATATTAATAACTTGTTTTAACTACTCCAGTTGCCAGTCCTCTAATCACTAGGTGAGTTGCACACTTGGAATTGTGACATTTTCGGGAAGCTTTAAGCAGATTTGTTTCATAACCTTTAAAGAACTGCAGTTTTGAAATTTGTAGACATGTAACCCCACAAAAAATTATTTGTTTTGGATCAATTCAGATTTGTATTACTTTTGTTTGTTTTTCGGGTTTCGGATCCGAAATTCGATTTGGTTCGGCATTCGGTTTTCGTATCTGTTCAAATTTTCGTTTCGGAAAGATCCACAACAGGAAGTCACATGACCTTGCCTGTAATGCAACCTCTAACAGCCAAAAATAACATCTGATTGGCCAGAAAAAGATGTCTGATTTAGTTTTGTTTTAAACGTAATTCAGATGGATCCGAGTTTTCGTTAAAGGAAAATTCGGATTAGTTCTCATTTGGACGCGTTTGAATTAGAAAATTCCGATGCATTCAAATGTCCAAATTTAAGGAAATTCATGAATATTCATTTGTAACTAAACAAAATGTACATGTCTAGGAATTTTAATCACAGATCATAATGAAAGCGATGACTGCCACTTTAAACAAGTTGGTAGCAACCTTACAACAAACAAGTAGTGCTGAAGCTTAGTGAAACCTGTTATCAGCTTGATTAAAGTGACAGCCAGCACTCCCATTAAGATCTGTGTTTAAAGGAGTTGTAAAGTCCCAACATATACTATTCTACATATAACATTTACTTTACATCAGCTTTGTAATAGAAATACACACTATAGTTGTTTTTGATAATGCAGTGGGAGCTTACTTGAACAAAATCCCTTTTATGTAGTATATGCTGCTTTCAGTCTGCCCATCACTTTCAACAATCTCTTGGGCTCCCAGTGTGCTTTGCATCTCTTTCCCTGCTGCTTAATGTGATGCCCACTCGATTCCCCAAGATTACTTATCCCATCATGCATTGGTAAAGCTAAATTGTTCAGACAATGAGTAGTAGTTCAGAAGAAAGGAAGTGCATATTCGCAGGGCTGAGTAAAATTGTGTCAGTGCAATGAGGTACATCCAATGGCATCTTCAATAAGTAGGTTTACAAAATTCTAGATCAATATGGTTATTAGGGGTGGGTTGGAATTTATAGAAATGCAATATAGAAATACATATTGATTTTGAGTTTTTGATTATAAATATCCTTTAACATTTCCCAAACTGGAGCTGAATGGGACTTTAAAGGCTTCAACAAACCTTCCCAAAAATTTTGAAAATGCATTGTTAAGCTTGCTGTACATACTGCTCTTATACAGGCAGAAACCCATGTGAACAAGGGCATGCAAAACAAGTCAGGATTGGTTGCTTCCGTTATTCATCCTGACAGTTTCTTTTGAAACTCTAAGATTGTGTTAGGTGTGGAACAGTATTGGGCACAGGCGATGCCGATGATCAGATGTCACAGACTGGTATTAAGTGGTTTGGGCACACATAAGCAGCATTATTGCACTGTCCCTTGTGCTTTGCCAATATATCAATGTATTCCCTTTTTTATCTAAACAAATCTGGTCAACTTAGCTATGTGTTTCCTGGCTCTGGGAAGATCATATTGCAGTGTGATTAGAAAAAATATACTTTGAAAAGAAATATAAACATTTACCACATCAAAACTAGACCAGTGCCCTCATTTTGTGAGCGAGATAAATAAATATGTATCTAAATATTATATATGATAACCAATGTATAAAAACACTGTTGGTTGCCATTATTTAGTAAATGTCAGTTTATTAAATTACTTACTGGTGGCAATAGTGTGTAAAAAGCATTCATTAATAAAAATTTAAAAAAAATGTCAAGTTACAGAATGTTACACTATTATATATTAATGTAGCAAATAATGTGATTACTTACAGTTGTTCTAAGTAAAACCACATTAGCTTTCTCCAAAGAGGATGGGACACAGTTTCCCCACACGCTCCACTCTGGCTTCCAATAAAAGACCAGCAAAAGAATTCCACCTGACAAACAATAGCCAATCACACATAGTACAATCCAAGGAATGCTTAATCTGTAGCCGAAAATTTCCTATTGAGAAAATAAAAAGCAACACTTCAGTCAAAACACATACCCAGTGGTGTTGTAGAAGTAGAGGCTGCTCATAAAGTGAAGTGTATGTTCATTTTGCAAAGAGGATGCTAGTAAATAAGTGAACCTGCGTTCACTTTGAATAGTCATGTGTGAGGGGAAAGAAAAACTGAACGCAGATCTGAACAGAGGAAATGTGAACACAGATTCATCTAATTTACTCAGCTCAGCAAAAAAAAAAATCACTTTTTAAAGCCAACATTCTATATTCTTTTAGTAAATCAACCCTCCTGTCTGATACATTTTTAATTGGTAAAATCCACCTGTAAATTGTATTCATGTAATAAATATACCATATAGGTTGGGTATTAAACCATATTCTTATATTGCATTGAGAAAATAGTTAAAGTTTTTTTAAAACCAAAACTTTTAATTTTGAATATTGCATAACATGTGGAAGAATTAGAGCCTATTAGTATTAGATAAATGTCTATCTAAAATAAAGCTGTCCCTCACAGGACGTACAAATATTTTTTATTTCTTGCTTTGAAACCAGGAATGTAATTGGCAGTTCTATCCCCACCAGATGCTCACCCAATCTTTCTTTTCTCCTCCTTTCTTATTGGCCACTTTTAAAAAATGCTGCTGTCAACAAAAGTGAAGGAGAGCACAAGACCAGAGTGGGAGGAGCCACATATTCTGAGCAGTGATGGCCTCTTCCCCTTATGCAAATATAATAGCATAATGATATAGTGAGAGTGAATTGTGGAAAGTCATTGACCACAAGCCAGCAGAGCTCAAATCAAGAGGTCATAGTGAATGCCAGGTCCTGCACTGTGTCTGAACAGCAGCTGGAAGACCTCCTGGAAAAGCCACAAGACACACAGGCGGTTATTCACTAAGGTGCCGAAGGATTTAGCCAAATCTTCAGCTAATTCTTTGGCTCGATTCGGCTGCAGGAGCCCTTCAGTTCAGCCGAACTGAAGGGCTGCTGTGAAGGCTTTTTACAATAACCTGTACAGCAGCAGAAGGCAGCCGAAGCACACAGTCAAGCTGAACACATACGCTTCATCTAGGTAGAGCTGAAGACACAGCCGGAGCGGGGAGAAAGGACCAACTGTCTGCAGACTGTAAAAAAAGAATTTAAAAAAAAACGGCATGGGGTCCCCCTTTCCCAAGTCATACCAGACCCTTTAGGTAAGGAATGTTAGGAGGGCCCCCCGATGTAAAAAAAAAAAATGGTAGGCCTGGTAGGAATTTTAAAGGGGACCCCAACGGCCAGAAAAACTGAAAAAAGTGGGGTCCTCCCTAAAATACCAAACCCTAATCTGAAAACTAGCCTGGCTGGGCAGGAAAGGGGGAAGATGAGCGAGCGCCCACCTCTGCACTATACCAGGGCACATCCACAACATTGGGAGGGTGCTTTTCCAGGGGGACAAGGTACTGGCCTTGTTTTTTTATCATTTACCTCCACCACTAGACCAATAGCAACACAATTCCCTAACGTTGTCACAAACAATTTGGCCAAATAGTTATGTATGTACTTGATAGGAAATGAATAAAAATCTCTCGAAGGTCAGTGTAATAACCTCTAAACCACTTCCAGCAGGTTCATGTAAATACACGTCATCTGCTGGAAGTAGTTTTACCAAGAACATGGCTGCTGCTGTAAAAATTTAAGTAAAATTACATTTAAAAAAATGCAAAAAAATAATTATTTTTAAGTCCCCCGTCCCCATGTGCATGCTCATACAATGCAAACACACGTCGAATGCGCCTACGTGCAAAATCGAAAATTGTGCCACACATGTTACGAGCGTCGGAGTGAGATCAATAATTCTAGGCCCACCAATCACTTTAACACTAAACTGATGAGCGTTTAAACTGTCGCCTATGGGAAATTTTAGTCATTGTAGTTTTTTGCAGTTTCGCGGATGCACGCAATATTAAGGCTTAACATGTTTGGTATCTATTTACTCGGCATGACCCCATATTTTATATTTTACCAAAACAAAATGGGTATTATATTCTGTTTCTGTGCACTAAATTTTATTTTAGTGTATTTTATCCTAAAAATACTTGTTTGATAAACATTTGCACAAATACCGTGCAACATAAAAAACTGGAACTAGCATCTTTTTATTCTACAGGGCCTCTGCTTTCAGAAAATATATAATTGTTTGGGGGGTCTGAAGCTGTTTTCTAGCCACAAATGCAGATTTTATCACGTGTGTGCAAATGTAAGAAATTGCTCTGGGGAGCAAGTAGTTAAGCTGGCCACACATAGCTTGACTTTCAGCCAAAAGAAAGAAATTTGAGCCATGGGTGACCCTGTCAGCACCATGCAGATCCACAAAGGTTGACTGAAAAATTAACCACCTCCCATCCAAGGCCGTTCGTGAATGGCCGGACGGGAGCCTTACAGGAGCGGGAGGGCGTCTTAAGATGTCCTGCCCCTCCACCCGCTCGTGCGCAGCCAAGATTATGGTGTGCGGGCCCCCCCACCCGCCATTGCCGCCGCTGCCGGTCCCGAGATCGGCTGTGCCCAGTGGGGCTGGGACCAGCATGGCAATGCTGTCAGTGGAGATCAAAGGGAGATTAATACACAATCTCCCTATTATCTTATTATATTATTATCTCCTCTCTTGAATTGAATTATTTTTTTTTTCATTACACTCATGGGGCTGAATGAGAAAAATCTAAAGCTGTATGGCTAGCCATAGATTGTTTTCCCAGAAACAGGCTATTTTCCCTGTAGTCCTGTTCTTGTGCAACTGTAACATTACAGTTGTTTCAATACTTTTTGTTTTAGTGACAATTGTCACCAAGACAAATAGAAAAGGTGAAACTCCCCAGCAGGGACACAGGCGGCAATAAAAATCCAAGAGGAGTTTGGATGCTTCCTCACTCATTCAAAACTATTACAAAATGTGGCATTAGGTCTTCTTTAGCCATAGGATTTAGAACAGGGTTTCTTACTTACTGACTTACTGATCAGTCAGCCAGCAGTTGATCAGGAAATAATTAGTATGGTTCCCAATCATATGAACATTAAGACAGCCAATCATAGTGATTACACAGCTCCGCTTTCATTGAGGGGAATTTATAAAAACTGGAGTAGACAAAACCTGGAGCATCTGTGCATGGCAACCAATCAGTGTCTGTTTCATTTCCAAATCTTAACTGAAGAATCTGAAGAGAGAGGTTGATTGGTTGTAATGCATAGCTGCTCCAGTTTTTGTCTGCTCAAGTTGTTATAAATTCCCCCCATTGTGTTTTGCACGTAGAGAGGCATTTTGAAAGCATCAATCGAGAAGCTCCAGATAACAAATAAAAGCAATCTAAATCTTTAAAAAAAAAAACAGTGCAAAAAAATTACTACGGAGGCAAAATAGGACATATTTATAAAGCAGCGAGAGTGACATTCATCAAATATTCACTGCAGATAAATCTTCCTAATGCATTTGTTTTAAATTACAGGTAATAATGAACAACCTGTGAATATTTATTAAATGTCACATTTACTACCTTACAAATATGCCCCAAAAAGTAATAGTTAACCAGTGCATAATAATGATGCTGCTGGTAAGGAAAGGGTTAAAAATAGAGTATAGACATTTCAAGCACATACTGTACCTCTGTATTGACAGTGTATTTTGAATTTGCAGTTACTTAAGTCTTCATATGGATAGGGGCATCTTTATAAAGCTGTGAACATTACATTCACCAAATATTGACTACATGTGAAACTTCCAGGTGCATGTGCTTTTATTTTCAGGGATTGATTAACCAACTGTAAATGCTCGCATTCACTGCTCTATAAATATGACCCTTTGTTTTCTATAAACAGGCGTTATAAGAGTTCCTGAAAAATACTAGAAATTACAATATGGTCCAATTAGCTTATTGGAAGACAGAATGAATTGAAACCAAATTTCTCATTTTAGAGTAAATCCAGTGATCCCTTTATAAAAATGGATAGATTAGGGAATAGTTAGAACCTTTTTATGTTTTTTATTGCTGTCTGGGTCCCCAGCTAGAGATATTTTCCTCACCTTTGGTGCAGTCATCAGAATAGTAAATGGAATCTCTCCCACAGGGTCACAGATAAAATAGTTTCTCCCTGCCTTAGGAACAGGACAGGAGAAGACTCCCCAAAAGAATCCTAGTAGCAATATGAACCTAATAGGGGCTTTAACCCTTCCCCTCTGTTTCTTTGTCTTGTGTTTCCCAAATTAGAGAGATTTTCCATCACTTCCTGGCTCAGAAAACATTGACATTGAAACAGACAGTGAGGAACACAACTTCCCCAGCAGAACACTGAGAGTAATCAAAACCTCATAAAGTGTCTAGGTCTCCACCATGGTGTACAATACAAAGAACATTTCAACTAGAGTACAACTAGTTTTGTAGGCTGTTTCGTACAGTCTATATCCAAAAATATTTGCGTTTAAGCATTTTCGTAGTGGAATTCATTCCTCGTTCCAAACAGGCCAATGTAAGTCACTGTCTTTTAATGCCATTTACATGGTGCACTGATAGGTAAAGTAAACACATTCTTTAGAAGTCTTCTCCCTCTTATACTTAGCAAAGTATATGAGCTAACCCCCTACTAATGCTTATCATGTCTGGTTAGTCCCACACTATTTCACAAAGCACAAAAATAACACTTCAACCATAAGATAAATGCCAGAACAGAAATCATATATCCAAATGCTAAGGTTATTGCTGGCACTGTCTCGGCTAGTATGACCTCAGAAAGACTTCCATAGAACTAAAGTGCAAAAAACTGCATTCCATTAGGGCTCCATGGATACAGGTAAATTAGTAACCTTGAGCTTGTAATATTCATTGGTACAGAGTTAGACCTTACAAGATACATTATTTTAGGAGAGTTTCGTTTAGGAGTCACCTATTAAACCAGTTACATCTTTATAATCCAATGATAATATCTGCACAAACACTTGATTGTTCCAGTAATCATATCA